TTTTTTTTTTTTTTTTTTTTTTTAATTCTGTTGATTAGGACCAACATGGACATTGCTGTTTGGTTGTTTGCCTGAGTTGCCCTCCCACCCAACCCGCTGTCTATTTTCTCGGCTTGGTAAGTGCCACGTCAGCAGGCCACGACAGTTGCAGTGCCACGTCAGTTGCAGTATCACTTCAGTAGTGCCACATCAGCAGCAGGGCCACGTCAGCAGTACCGCATCATTGACACCGTACAGCTAACTGCAGCTTATGCTTCGATGCAGCAACCGCATTGCAGCACGGGAAGGGCGGGCAGCCGCAGCAGAACAACAGCTACCTCTGCCCCACCCCTCTGAAATGGACACTCAGGGCAACCCCACGATGGACAATGCCGCATCCGGCAGTCCACACGAGGCATGCAGCTCGAACCCCCCGGCCCCACAGGCCCAGCAGGAGGGTTCCATTGCGACTTCTGCGGGAACCCTCGACGCTGCACCATTCCGGCGGCAAGGAGAGACCATGACGGCCTTCCTGGCCCGTGGAGACGATCAGATTTGAACCGCCTGGCACCTATATGCAGCAAGTCTAGGAGGAGCAGCAACGCGAGGAGGCAGCCGAAGCAGCACTCCTTAATGCCATTGCACACGCAGAAGAGCAATGGCGTCGGCAGCAAGCTGACGCAGCTGCGAACCACAACCAAGCTCGAAGCGATGCCGCGTCTGTCCTCATGCAGCAGGAAGCCGCTCATACCGCCGCACTCCAAGCATGCCATGTTGATCCGACGGAAACAACGGAACCAAATACGGTGGACCAGACTAAGTCAGCTCTTGCCAGCATGATGCACCAAGTCATCCTCACTTGTAATTGGCAACAAGTGGAGCTGGCTCAGCAGGCACGTACCATTACTGAGTACGAGGAGACTCTCAAGAGCCTCCACGCCCGCCTTGACATGTTGGAGAAGGATGACGTGCCGCACATGCACACGACATCGTCAAGCATGGATCCATCGATCCGCGAGCTGGAAGGACGGCTGGATCACCTAGTCGCGATGATCGGCAACTTGAACAGTCTTCGACACCCGACGACCATACACCAGCAAATAGCCGCCCTACAAGCGGAACTGCGTCAACTGCAGCAGCAACCAACTGGGACCTGCAACAACGTGACGCCGAAACAATTCAGGATGCCGAAGTTCAGCATTGACAAATTTGATGACTACCACAAGGTGGACCCCATCAGTTGGTGGCAAGGGTTCACCAATGAGCTCTCCATCCACTTGGTACCGCCCGAGTCGAAGATCTTAGCGCTTTACCTCTGCAGCACCGGTGCCAGCCAAGTGTGGCTCAACCACCTGGCTCAAACCGAGGGCGTCGAAGTCTCTAAGCTTCACACCGAGATCACTCGGGAGGCCATGACTAAGAAGTGGCGGAAACGCATCATCGTCGACGACGCTAAGGGCAAAGGCGTGAACCAGATCTTCAGCGTGCATCAAGGCAGCCAACCAACACGCGAACGGCTAACTGAGTGGCAGAAAATCGTGACAATTCCGAATTTGGACATCCCATTCGTACATCTTCGTCGAGAATTCTTCCAGCGGTCAGTTGATGCAGTGAGCACGACCCTTGGGGAGCGCAGCCTATACAGAAACTTCGACCAGATCGTGGAGAAGGCGCGCGAAGTCATCCAAACCAATTGGTGGGCAGCCAACGAGCGGCGAAGCCGACCGACTTTTGTGGAAAAGGGCAAAGGCCCGTGGCCGCAGCAAGTCGCTGCTGTCCAAGGTAATGGACAAGAGAACTACCAGGCGATGACTCACGAGTCTAGTGAAGGAGACGGAGTCAACGCCCTTCCGCCACGACGCAACAACAACAACAAGAAGAAGGCGGCGAAATTTGCGTCAACAACGGAAGTCGGACAACCGAATGAGCCATGGAAGAAGTTCAGCCTCACGGAGGAGCAATACAAACTTCGCCAGAGGTGGAATTGTTGCTACTGGTGCAACAACACCAAGCATACGACGTCGCAATGCCTTGACAAAGGCAAAGAAGATGTCCGTCCACGGCAAAGCTCAGGAAACTGAGCTTCACGGGAAGCGAGGCGACTCCACTTCCTACTCCGCCGGACACGGTTGCCTTGATAGCAACCTCCTCCACGTCCGGGGAACATGCGTATGTCGCCAGTCTTCGCGAAGATTATGAAGACTATGCTGTCCAACTGGTCCCGCCGTTGGACCAACCTCTCCACGTGCAAGACTCATTTGCGTGTGCGACTTCATCACCATCGCCAAGTGAACCAGCATCCTCGCCAACATCACTTGGGGACTCGTTGGTGTGGTCTAGACTTGAGGAACTCGACCCATTGACACCGGATGACTTCCAATGGTTGCCTCTTCCCCCATCTGGTTCCTTGCCGAAGCCGCATTGCAACGCCCTAATGGTGGAACTATGCAACTACTTGCACGCTGCAGTACCAGCTCCTTTGATGGCAGGTGGAGTAGCGGTTGTTGACCTTCGCGAGTACATTGTGAAGATTGACCGCGAGTACGCCACGCAACGGTACGACGACACCGACGCACCGTTACTCTATGTCCGCATTTAGATCGGGAAGGCGACCTGCAAAGCCGTGATTGATTGTGGAGCTACTCGCAACTACATCAGCCAGGATGTCATGACCTGCGCCGGCCTTGGGCCGCACGTTCGAAGGAAATCGCAGCCCACGCAAGTCACGCTGACCGACGTTCGTACGCATAAGTCCATCGACCGGTGCATTGACTCCGTCCCCGTGTACTTCGCCCCGTGTGCATGCTAGGCCGTGTCCTTTGACATATTGGACACAAAGTTCGACATGATCTTGGGCATGTCATGGCTGCGCAGCGAGGACCACCTGGTGAACTTCTACCGCCGCACCGTTCACGTTCGTGACCAGAACGGGGTACTTGTGCCATGTACGGTCCCCCCACCTCATCCTTCGATTGGTTGTCACGTGGTCTTCACGACAAGCATTCGCAACTCCATCGTACGGAACGACGTGGAGGAAATGGGCATTTGCTTCTTGCACGCCCTCCCTCCTCCCGACGAGCCAGCGGCGGAACAGCCACCGGATCCACGCATTGTACAACTTCTTGACTCCTATGGCGACGTCTTTGAAGCCCCCGCCGGAATCGTACCAAATCGGCCAATTCGTCACGAGATCATCCTCGAAGACGGGGCCGTACCTCCGCGCGGATGTATTTACCGCATGAGCGAGGAGGAACTTGAAGTGCTTCGAACGCAACTCGATGACCTCGTTGACAAGGGCTGGATTCGCCCTAGCTGCTCGCCCTATGGTGCAGTTGTTCTCTTCGTTCGGAAGAAGAACAAGGAGGTACGCTTATGCATTGACTATCGCAAGCTTAATGCTCAAACCATTAAGAATGCCGGCCCGCTCCCACGCATCGACGATCTTCTCGAACGCTTGGGCGACGCCAAGTATTTCTCCAAGTTGGACCTCAAGGCCGGTTCCCACCAGCTCGAGATCCATCCAAGAGATCGATATAAAACCGCGTTCAAGACACGGTATGGGCACTTCAAGTGGGTCGTAATGCCATTCGGCCTCACGAATGCCTCGACCACCTTCCAAGCGGCAATGACAACGGAGTTTCGCGACATGTTGGACCGGTTCGTCCTCATCTACCTTGATGACATCTTGGTGTATAGCCGAACTTTGGACGAACACATCGTGCATCTACGTGCTGTTTTGGATAGGCTTCGTACGGCCAAGTACAAGGCCAACCGAGCCAAGTGCGAATTTGCACAGCAAGAGCTCGAGTACTTGGGCCACTTTGTGACGCCGCAAGGCATCCGTCCGACAAGATCAAGGTCATTCAGGATTGGCCGGAACCGACCAACACCACGGAGGTTCACTCTTTTATGGGATTGGCCGGGTACTACCAATGCTTCATCGGAGGATAGGCACGGATCGCCGCACCTTTGTCCAAATTGCAGTCTCCACAAGTGCCCTTCCAGTTCACCGACGAAGTCTGCAGTTCCTTACACAAATTGAAGACGGCGTTGCTCCTCGCTCCCGTCTTGAGTATCTACGATCCCACCTTGCCTACAAGAGTGACTACGGACGCTTCCGGCTACGGCATGGGTGCAGTTTCAGAACAACACGACGGAGTAGATTGGCACCCGGTTGAGTACTTCAGCCAAAAGGTGCCTCCCATCAACTCGGTTGATGATGCGCGGAAGGAGTTGCTCGCGCTCGTCACGGTACTCGAACGTTGGCGACACTTCCTCCTCCGGCGTCGTAGGTTCACTTGGGTGACGGATAATAACCCATTGACCTACTACAAGACACAAGACACGGTGAGCAGCACGATTGCTCGGTGGATGTACTTCATCGATCAGTTCGACTTCACACCAAAACACATTCCGAGCCTTTCTAACCGAGCTGCGGATGCTCTCTCGCGAAGATCAGATCTTTGTGCAGTGACTCACCACGCGTTCAGTTTTGACGAAGCCCTTCATCAGCATTTTGTGCGAGCATACAAGTCCGATCCGGAATACGCCACGCTCTACGAGCAACTATCCTCGGATCACCCGCCGGCCAGCCACTATCGCATTGTCGATGGCTACCTGCTGCTTCACTCACGAGGCAAGGACTTACTATGCGTCCCACACAACCGCGCTTACGGACTTGTCTCCTCGACGAGTACCACGACTCGAGACTCGCCGGCCACCTCGGAGTCAACCGTACGATCGCAAGACTTCGGCAGCGATTCCGGTGGCCCGACCTCATTACTGACGTCACTCGGTATTGCGACTCTTGTGAAGTTTTCCGACGAAGCAACCCCCTCAATCGCAACCCTTATGGTGAGTTACGCCCGTTGCCTATTCCACGGGAACCCGGCCTCTCCATTGCCATGGACGTCACTGGCCCGTTCCCCCGGGACCGCTTCGAGCACGACGACATTTTCACGGTCGTTGACCGCTTGAGCAAGTACGCACGATTTCTTCCTTGCAAGTACCACGCCACGGCCCCGGAACTTGCACGCCTCTTACACACGGGCTGGATTTGCGGCCACGGTGTTCCGGAAGACATCGTCAGCCGCCGCGACACTCGTTTCATGTCGGCATTTTGGACCTCTCTCATGAAAGAGTCCGGCACCGAGATGAAACCAAGTTCGGCTCGGCATCCGCAAACGGACGGGCAGACGGAGCGGGCACATCAAACCGCTCAAGTAATGCTTCGCACACTCATCCATACGGATCAGAAGGATTGGGTGGACCGCCTTCCCGACATCGACGCCGCTTGTTCGCCCGCCTCCGTTCGGAAGTATAGGGACTTGCTGGCTAAAGCCCACGCCATGCAAAAGGCTCAAGTCCGCATGCAGCAGCAAGCTAACAGGCGTCGCGTGCCATGCCCCATCCTCGCCGGCGACCTTGTTTGGGTCTCCACAGAAGAGTTTGCACTCGAGCAGGATGTAATCGCAAGCTACTTCCAAAGTGGTTTGGACCATGGACCGTCACATCAGCCGCGGGTGATGAGCCCGATGGCCCCTCATTTGTGATCGGAATCCCGCCGCATCTCACGGTGCACTCGGTTTTCCACGCCTCCAAGCTGGCCACATATACACCAGCCAAGAGCGACGACTTCCCGGGACGACGATCACAGGACCCTCCTTCCATGGATGGTCATCAGGAAGTCGACCGCGTCATCACCCATCGCAAGCACGACAACAAGCCTATGTAGTACAAAGTCACATTCAAGTGGTGCAACCCCGATGACACGCGATGGATTTCCCGGGCAGCTTTGCGAGCCTCCGCTCCTGACATCTATGCTCGTTATGAGAAGAAACGGCTAGCGACGGAATCTGCACAGCCTCCCACCCGGACTTCAGTCCCTCCCTCCACCAGATAGCTTCGCCCTCGCAATTAAGCTCGGTCTTTCAAGGAGGGGGAAGTGTGGCATACTCCATACCACACGGGCCAGCAGAACCCGACCTGGTAGACTAAGGGTCCGTAGGGGTAGGGCCTGTTTTAGGCCCTGTGTCATTTCGGCTTCCAGCCTGAAAACGACGGGCCATTTTCAGGCCCTCGCAAGATCGACCTACCCTGAAACTCAGGCACCAGACCGGGGTTTTAGCTCAGGCCTTCAGGGCCTATTTTGTAGCGCGTCAACCCTAGGGTCTGGCACGTTTTGGCATAGGCACGAGCAGCCTCTCGGACGGCCCAGCACTATATAATGTTGACCCGCCCTGTAGGCTGCAGGCAGTTCCCAGGCACTTCACGTGCAGAGGGAAGGAGGTAGTCTTCAGGACTCGGCAGCGACACTCTGGAGGAGTAGTAGCGATAGCAGTAGTCTTCAGCGCTGGGCGCTAGTAGGAGAGAGAGAGAGAGATGGTTGACGGAGGCCAGGGATACTCACCTGCGGCGCCATAGCTCCAGCTTCGTCTTCGAGGTACCTGCAGGAAGGCGCCACCTTCACAGGCCACCTTCACAGGTTAGTATCGGACCGAGAGAGAGAGAGAGAGAGAGAGAGAGAGAGAGAGAGAGAGAGAGAGAGTTCTTCTTCTTCCTCCTCTAAGTCCATCTTTTCCTCACCCTCTCGCCCCCTGACTTCTCTCCACGCTGATGTGGCGCTGCCTCTGGTATCTGTGGCGCTGCTATTGGTCTTCATTGATGATGTGGCATTGCCACCTGTCTTGTTTATGACGTGGCATTGTCCACGTTGTCTACACGAGGTGACTGGTTGCGAGGAAGAGGAAGATCGGGACTGTGGAGAGATCGTGAATACGTACCTGATTATCTTCATGTTGACAATGCTCCAGTGCTGATGAGGGACTAATTAGACGTGCCACGTGGCACATTGAGGTTACTTCAGATACTCGTTCAGACTGTCGATTATTGAAGTGTTGGAGGAGGGAGCCCGAAGCAGGAGTGGGCATTGAATTTCCTCTCCTTTGTCTAATCTCCCTCCTCTCTTCTTCGTCTGTGTATGATTATCTCGTCTCATTCTGTCTGGACACGATCTTGATTATTGGTAATCATCAGCTGTTGACATTCATCTGGAATTGCATTGTTGATAACTGTCTTCACGATTTGGGTTCATTGCAATTTGGTATCGGAGTGTTGCATACCGTAAAGGTGCAGACCAGACCAAGAACCGACCTTTCTCGCCAGATACAAGATAGCACAACGGAAGGTTTGGATACCAATGATCCGATCAATCAAGCTGCCATGCAGACCAAACATGCATCATCATCATTCCATGGTGTGAAGGGGGCTGAAGCTCACACAGGAAGAATGCATCAGTCCCTGATTATGCACAGACGAAGAAGAGGGGGATTAGACAAAGGGGAGGGGGAAGATGGAAATGTCGTCAACACCAAGGCTTCGATACAGTCCCAAATAATCCCTCGCCAAAGGTCTGAATCCTGATGCTGAGTCTGAACCCCAATGTCGTCAAATGCCAATGTCGCCCATCTCTCTCTCTCTCTCTCTCTCTCTCTCTCTCTCTCTCTCTCTCTCTCTCTCTCTCTCTCTCTCGTAGCTACCTCGTAGACCAGAGGCAGCACCACGTATACCAGAGGCAGCGCCACATCAGCATGCCATGAAGACCATAGGCAGCGCCACATCAGCATGCCATGAAGACCACAGGCGGCGCCACATCAGCATGCCTGGCGTACAATGCCAGCGTGCTGCCTCTCCCTCGTGTCGTCGTCCGCAGCCCTGATGCGCAGCCAGCGTCTAGCCAGCGTCGCGCTAGCATAATGCCAGCGTCAAGTCAAAGTCAAGCCGGTGTTGAACCAGCATAGCAAGACTGAATGCTGACCACCTCGAGGTCAAACTTTAAATAGTGTTTGATGAGGCTCTCTGGCCTCGAGTCTCCTCCCCTCGGTCGTCCAGATTGAGTCACATTCGAAGGCTTGGATTGTACAGTTGCAGAATTCCCCCTTGGAATTGATGCTGTCTGGGTACCTGCATACAAACAAGTGTGTGTGCTTGATCGGTGGCCTGGACTGGATACCTTTGGACTTTGACTGTTGGGGTTGCGACAGTTGACAAAAGTCAACTGTGGCGCGCCCAGGCCCTGAATCCCTGTGTGGGGTCCTGTACCTCGTTTTTGGCCTGGCTGAGGGTGGCCAGGTCGGCCCTTAGATTTCTACGAGACATATGGCATGGGTTATTGCAACCCCCAGGATCACAGAATTTCACATCTCCCGACATTTGAGAAAGAATATTTTTGGTTAGCGGGAGACAGGTATTGTTACATACTTCAATGAGTATGGGCAGAACCAAAGATCAACCAATATAGAATAAGCATTTATGCAGCGGAAGTCTGATAACGAACTGACTCACATAGACTGACTCACATAGACTGACCTACATGGCATCACTCCACACACATACAATCATGAGATGGTGGGGTCTGGGTCATTCATAGACGATACCCAGATCCCGTACACACATACACAGATGAAAGGTGGGAGGAGAGACGAAGGAGGTAGGAGGTAGATCACACCGATAGGTCACAAGATAGAGTCTGGTAGGTCTCCGAAATGGTAGTCCAGAATGTCATATAACAAGATCAAAATGTCGAGGAC